TCACTTCCTATGAATCTGTCATCCATTCAGTCTCCATACATCGAGGGGCATCAATGGTACTGCACTACAGTCCCACTGCAATTCGCAACCCTCATAGGAATTCCTCCTTAACCTTCAATTCTTAAAAGCCAAAAATTAAAAAGAAAGAAAAATGTGTGGTTAGTAAAAAGCTAAATCAAATAGGATTTGAGCACCAACATTGTTGGACCTAATGTTTTGTTTAAGATCGGATTCTACCTAGATTTTATTTTTATTTTTTTTTGGGTCAGGATCGAATTGTGGAATCGATGGATCCTACAAAAAGGGTAAAAAAATAAATAAATAAAATTCATACTAATAATTTTTAAAAGTTTGCAATTCACATATACGACAATAAATAATACAATTCATGTTCAATCAATATAATGGCCGCACGATAAGAACCGATCCTAGCTGTACTTAATCATCGTTTAACTGAATCTGTCGAGATTATCTCTATTTTGATTGGGGATTCCTCTGACTTGCTGAGAATTCTGAGAATGACCAAATACCCATTTCCATAAATTTCTTCAATTATTGAACACAAAATAGTGGAGTGGGACCTCTGATTTCACCCTAGTTATTAGTTAGGTTAAATGGTCAAGCATGCCATCAAATTCGGGCCTAGATTCTCTCCGCTCAGTGGTAGCTCACTTTTACCGATTACTGTTCAATTCTTTAACTCATGAATCATGACCGATATGATGCTGTGTAGATTTCTTTGAGCGAATCAACTAAATTTTTATAAGGTTAATTATAAAAACTCCCTCTAAGGTATATTTATTTTTACACTTTGTCTCCTAATATTTTTTTTTTTCACTTTATCCCTTGAAACATTAGTTAACTCTAATATTGTGTTGTATAATGGTATTGTCAAAAAGATATTTATGCCCTTAATTAATAGTTAAATGCAATAATTCCCCTAACTTATTTTGCTCTTTATCTCCTAACATTATTTTTGCCTAATTTGTCTATTTGTCACCAAAATCATTAATCAACTCCAATATTTTATAATCCAGGGTAAATAATGTATAAAAATCAATTTTCCTAACATAGTAATGAAAATGTTATATATTTATAGATATTGTTCTAATTAAATTGGGAATGTGCATATGGTTGCACTTTTATTTTAATAGTTAGATATTTTCATCATATTGGAATATAAATTTGTTGTTGTTAATACTTAAAAAAGAGAGAAACATTGTTCATTTGGGCTTTCAAGTTTCAAGGGTCATTTTTATAATATAGCATGATTAGATGCTATTAAAAATTGTTTGGATTGCTAAATTTTTGTAAAAAAAAAAAATTTTTGTCGAGTCATAAGCACATTTCTCAATCATCTTTTTATTTTTTTCAAATACCTTTTTTTCACAAACATCAGATCGCAAAAAGTATTACAGTATTTTTTAAAAAAATTTTCAAATAATCTTCAATCCAAACAAACCCAATCTATAGGCCTTTAATAATATTTTTATAGTTTTTTTTTCACTAATAATTTTTCTTTTTCCCCTTATCATGCAAAACGAGTTGGGATATTACCCTTTATCTAAAACCTATAATTATGGAGATAACATTTAACAAAGCCAATATCCATAAATGTACAATAATTTTCATTGTTATGTTAGGAATGCTGATTTAAATATTATCTATCTTGAGTGATTTTAGGGACAAATAGACAAAATAACAGAAAAATGAAATTAGAGGATATTGTATGTTAAGGGAATTTATTGGACTTAACACCTAAGGGCATAAATATCTTTATAACATTTTCGTTATACAATGTTAAAGTTGACTAAAGGTTTAAGGGATAAAGTGAGAAAAAATCAACATTAAGAGATAAAGTGAAAATTTGTTAAATGTTAAGAGGAGTTTTTGTGATTAACCAATTTTTTATATTACGATATTATTAACCATTCCACTGATATTGAAGCTCGAAGCCTTCCGTTTCATTCAATATCACATGGACATTAGAGGCATTCTTTTTTTTTGGTCGCTATAATTACTTTTTCGTGGTTGGGACTTCGGGGATACAAGTAGAACTTAAGCAGATTTCGTCAATACAAAACTGTTTTACCAACATTACCCCCTCCGTGCAGCGCTTACCTTAGCCACCCAAAATAATAATAATAATAATAAATAAATAAACAATGCTAAATTGCAGGACAGGATATTTACATCTTCGTTAACACTCGTACAATTTTGAAATTTTATCCCCTATTAAAAAACAAAGGTGACGTTATTTACACTCCTAGTATGTTATTTGCATTCCCGCTATCTCAATTTTATTTCGATGAGACTATATTACTCCTACCCTAATTTTTTTGCCTTGCCCATGTGCTAACTATACTAGATGTGGTCATCCAATTAGGGTAGGAGAAGAAATCAGGATAGGGATAATATGGTTTCATCAAAATAAAAATGCGACAGTGGGAATACAAATAACATAACAGGAGTTTAAATAACATTATCCAAAAACAATTGACAAAGATGAAGCTATCTCATAATTCTTGACAATTAAATAATTAAAAGAGTTACAGTCCACTATCTTGCCTTAACTTATTGAGTTCGTGGTTTATCAGTTTATTACGAGTATTCTTAAAATCCCCATCCCATCAAGAGTCGTTTTCAGAGACTAGGACGTTTTCAAGATGGTATGATTGCAACGGTGGTTGATGATTTCTCCCAAAAAATACCAAACCAGTAAAGCCATTATAGTATTCCGTCTCCGTAAGAGATTAATCAATGACATAAACTAACATTTATGTCAATTACATCTACATATTTGGTCATCAAATACAAGCCGATCAAGTGAGAAGTCTTTGTTTGATGGTCTTCTTTAGTTAGTGTCTTAATCAAATTTTAATATTACTGCTCACCCCTTTTATTCACCCTATTAAGAGTAAGCGACAGCAAATCGACTTTTGCCCTTACAATAACCAAATAAAGGAACACCATAACGAGTTAATGAATTTTAAAATCTTTTATCACAGAAGATTTATATGGGCAGAACAAGGGATAGGGGCTTCAAAAGGTAGTTCATGGAGTACGTAGAGGAATTGGAATTAATATACTATTGAATGTGCCAAAACAATCGTTTCTTTGCTTTCCGCGATAGAGATTGTAGACGGACAAAAATGGGTTCTCTCCGGAGTAACTTTTACGCAGTAAAATGGCATGAAGTGCAAGCCAAAGGACGTTCACTCAGTGCAGGAATTTATGTGCAGTAGTCAGCTTTGGACCTTTTGTGAAATACATATGACTCCAATTAGAAGTATTCTCATCATAAATCTTTTTTTTTTTTTGGTAACGGAGGAGTGAAATTTAAAAAACTTAGAAGAAGAGGGATTTGAATTCGAAATCCCTAGCTCTGGAGGTGGTGTTTTTGACCACTACAATTAACTCTAATAGATATTGCTCGCACGATTTCCCTTTAGTAGCAAACATTAATCATCACATATTCACATTACAAAGTTGGTTCGTGCAGGAGTCAGTATTCCGATCGAGTTGTAAATAAATGACAACCCATAATAGCCCTTTGGCGACGCATGTAACTTACTTTATAAACACTTTTGCGCAAGTCATGTATTAGTGGGTATCAACTCAACGTTGTTAATCTCCTATGATCAATAACACTAGGAATCATCACTGCGTTTATTTAACTTTCTGGTCAAACGATTTTTAAAAGTTGCTTAACAAACTTTTGCTTACTTTTTTCCTGGTTTAACCGCCAGACCAACCGCCTAGCTTTCATGCTAGTTGGTTAACTGTAATTGAAAATTGGGGATTTGTTGATTGATTGTTGGATCAAGTGGTGGATTAGTTTCTTTCCAGAAAGCCCAACTTTAAATGTCGATGATGGTTTAGGAAAAAAGAGGAAGCTTTTTAACTAAAACTACCAATTAAAGTAAGCACATTTCAAGAACTAAAAACTTTCACAAAAAAAAAAAAGAGAAAGAAAGTTGCTGTAAGTTGTAATGTATTCGAATTTCACTGTCGAAGCTATGTCAATGATGCTACATGCACCCCTTTTTGTGTAATGACTAAGATATTTGTTTTCTAGCAAAATTTTATGTACAAAACAAATGAGAAATCAGGCTGCAAATCTTTTGGTTAAGAAAGCAAACTCCAAGCAACCCATGAAAGCTACCATCCCTTAACAGCTTTGAGGTAAGGCAAACGGCAAAGGGTTCAAGCCACAAAAACACAAACATCCAAAGATGCTCTGATCAAACAACCTTTCAAAAATTTTGGGAAACACAGTATCATGCATGAGGATTGTCTCTTATGTTTCCCAGACGGTATACAGGATTGTATGGTTACTCTTTCAGAACTTAAGTACCCTCATCATATGTCCAATGCCTTTTCTGCCGACTTTTGGTCTATCCATACAACACCGATCAACTAAAAAAGAAAATGGTTTATTGCAGGAAAATCACTATATCCTTCGGTTATGTAAGCTTGAGTCCTCCGAGTTACTTAATTATTTCTTTATGTGATTAAGATTAGCAGTATTTTACTTTGTCCTCTAAAAGTAATGGATTTGTCACGCTTAATTTGTATCTTTATTTTAATTAGTAAGAATTTAGTGATTAATCTTCATTCTTTACATGCATATGCTTGTAGTTTGCTGTATTTCATATCAGATGGGGCCATAACTAATTATGTGATGACTTAATCACTAGCTGTTACGATTTAGTAGATAATATGCCCTTTTGAATATCGAAGGAAAGGGGTTTTTGTTAAAGCCTAAGAGTACTGTTTGATTTTCTGCAGCAATACAATACAAAATGAGAATTAGTTGGCACTGCTTCAATTCTTTCCCTATGTCATTCACTTGACTCCTTACGTAGAAAAGCAGTACCATGTTTGGTCACGTTAGCTAGGATTTGTTGTAATAAAACCACTATTTGTTAGGCCAACCTGACTCTTATAACCAGCAACTTTGGTAGATGTTTTGAGAGCAGTATCCTGAGTTAGTAGCTTCAAGATGTATCCTCCGATGTAAACCCTTCGTTAACTACTTGGTGTGAATTACAAGAAATACATGCTACCGAATTATACTTATGGTCATCAAAACTCTGACATCTTGAGTGTATTTTCCTTCTCAAAAATCCTTTCTATATAGCCCCTGAAGCTAACTACAGCGACGTTGTAGCTAAGAAGCTTGTTTCTTCATGTTGATAGGCCCTCCTCCCTGCCATCAACCTCAAGTATTCAGGCTAAGCACGCATAGAAGATTCGCTCAAAGAAGTATGCTTCTTCATATTTATAGCCCTTCTCTGCCATCAATCCAAGGTATTCAAGAAAATTGACTCAGCTCATTTCTCACGCGAAAACACACATAACAGAGGGATGGCGACATGGTTTCAAGTCTTGGTGCTGATTGCTTGTTTACTTCCTTCACTGGTTGAGTGCATCGTTCGTGAATACAAATTCAATGTGAGCAATGCATTAATCACTTTTTTTTATCTGGCATTTCAGAAAAAGTGATACAGTATTATTCAAAAATTATTTTCTGTGCTTGCATGGCAAAGTATTCCAATTCAGTTTCTTTTTTCGAGCAAATGCATTGCTTATTATGCAATGCTGCAATAATTGTTGTGCTCGTCTAACGAAGTTGACAGATCGAGCTACATTAACACCAGTATTTCAGTGCAGTTAATAATATTACAAAACCAATGCTGTTATCGTTTCACGTATTAACCTGAAAATAAATAGGTTATTAACGTATAAAAATTTAGATATCCTACACTTGATTTAACTTTTTGATCAGAAATTAAGAGAGAATATGATATGGTTGAAACTGATGGCAAGGGAACCAGGTGGTGATGGCGAACGCCACAAGACTATGCTCAACTAAGCCCATAGTGACAGTGAATGGGCAGTTTCCGGGTCCGACGATCTATGCCAGGGAAGATGACACCGTTCTCATCAAGGTTGTCAACCACGTCAAATACAACCTCTCCATCCATTGGTTAGTCCTATGACCCCAACATATATATATATATATATGATGATGCTTTCATTCCAATTCTCCGTTTCTTCCCTAAAATGCCACTAAATTTTGAAATAAGGTCTAAAATTTTCTCCGATTTTCCAATTTTCACCATTTTTTTCCTCTTTTCATTCAACATATTCTCCAATTTTTTTTGAAAGCATTCTTCAATTGACTCAATAATTAACATGCTCTAATTGCCCCTGTTGCTAACCAGTCTGAACCAGTAATACTGTAACACTTGGTTGATACGATGTATGTGAGATAAAAATATGATTGAAAAATGTATTTATAATGCAAGCAAACAAATTTATGTCAATAATAATAATCTGTTATCTAAACAGTTTATTTGGATGATTTATTTGAAATAATTACTGTAGCACTTTTTGTGATGTGATGTATGTGAGATAAAAAGATAATTGAAAAGATAAAAAGGTGATTTAAATTTGTGAAACAAATTATTTTATTTAAAATCATCTCAATCCAAACAAACCAACTATGTGTTGGACTATGTGAAGGCATGGCGTAAGGCAGCTTCGAACGGGATGGGCCGACGGTCCAGCATACATTACGCAATGTCCAATTCAGCCAGGGCAAACCTATGTCTACAACTTCACGATCACAGGCCAGAGAGGAACACTTTGGTGGCATGCGCATATCCTATGGCTTAGGGCCACTCTCCACGGTGCACTTGTCATCCTCCCCAAGCCCGGCGTACCGTACCCATTTCCTAGCCCACATGAGGAAACTATCGTCATATTAGGTCACATAATATATTTTTCAAAAAAAATAAAAGATAAAGAAGAAGAATTATCGATAGTATTACCATCGATCATCTTTTAAAATTTCTATGCTTTGACTTTATAGGTGAGTGGTGGAAGTCAGATGTTGAATCGGTTATCAAAGAAGCATTGAAATCGGGCTTGGCACCTAATGTTTCCGATGCTCACACGATCAATGGCCATCCAGGGTCCGTCCCGAATTGCTTCTCTAAAGGTAGCCATCGAATTCCTAACATGCATGCAATTTGTGCAAATCCCCAGTTTGCGCCTAACAATTGTGCATGCTTTCATGCACCATAATAACTCTTTTTGGTGACACTACTAGATGACTAAATCCAATCCTATAATACGCTGAAGTCCAATGCCTGTTCTTAATTAATTTCATGTGATCTTCACGAACCTCTTTTTTTCTTTTTTGGGGGTAATAATACCCAGGAAGGTTCAGATTGCCGGTGGATCCAGGCAAGAAATACATGCTGAGAATCATCAATGCAGCGCTTAATGACGAACTTTTCTTCAAGATTGCGGGTCACAATCTCACAATAGTTGAGGTTGATGCAGCATATGTGAAACCATTCACAACCGACACTATTCTAATAGCACCAGGCCAGACCACCAACGCCATTGTATCCACCGATCAGGAAAGTGGCAAGTACTTAATGGCAGCTTCGCCATTTATGGACGCCCCTATTGCAGTTGATAACCTTACCGCCACTGCCACATTACGTTATTCCGGCACCGTTTCGAGTATTGCCACCACCTTGACAAGTCTGCCGTCTAAAAATGCCACCCCTGTGGCTACAAAATTTATGGACTCCCTCAGAAGCCTGAACTCGCAAGAATACCCTGCCCAGGTTCCCTTGGATATTGATCATTCTCTTCTTTTCACGATTAGCATTGGAATCAACCCTTGTGCTACTTGTGTCAATGGTAGCCGACTCGCGGCTGATATCAATAATATCAGCTTCGTCCTGCCCAAAATCTCTCTCCTGAATGCACATTTCTTTAATCTAAGTGGAGTATTCACTGATGATTTTCCAGGGAACCCGTTAATGCCGTATAATTATACGGGCAAGCAGCCTACCAACCTGGGGACTATGAAAGGAACTAGGCTATATAGACTTGCCTATAATTCCACTGTACAGTTAGTATTGCAGGATACTGGGATGATTAGCCCTGAAAGCCATCCATTTCATCTGCATGGTTTTAACTTTTTTGTGGTCGGAAGTGGTATAGGCAATTTCAACCCCAACAAGGATCCGCCTAATTTCAATCTTGTTGACCCTGTTGAAAGAAATACGGTCGGAGTGCCTACTGGTGGCTGGGTTGCCATCAGATTCCGAGCTGATAATCCGGGTAATTTCTTGCTATCAAAATTTTATTTATTTATTTTTTTTGCACAAGCAGTAGATGTTATATTACATTTATTACTCGCGATTAATGTTATGATGCTGAAATAACGCAATAGCTTGAGCGAGACAAGACTCGATAAACCCAAATTTTGTCAAATGATTAGTTGTTCACCTAATAATGGACTAATGCTGCCGGAAAAATCTAGCAGACAATTGGTGGAGCTTACGTAATTAAATGAACTTTGACTCAACAGCTGTTTGCAAGTAAACAAACACCCTGTTAAAGTTGTGAACTTTGTTCTCCAATAAATCCATAACACTTCACTATAGTATCTGATCTCTAATGAGGTTCTTTAACTGATAAGTGCTAGTGTTATTAGATGATTTTCTGTAACATCTTCATGTTCTTGTTGTAGGGGTGTGGTTCTTGCACTGTCACTTGGAAGTCCACACCACATGGGGACTTAAGATGGCATTTGTGGTGGACAATGGGAGAGATCCAGATGAATCCCTTCTACCACCACCGACAGATTTACCCAAATGTTGAGAACTTTCGGATACTCCATGTACATTATATAACTTCAAGAATCAGACAACGGAAGGCTGGACACTCAACATATAACAGGGCAGTTCACCCGGTAGATTTCGTTTTATATCTATCGGCTTGTTGCCATAAACAATCATACAAAGATAAGGAAATTACCATGATAAACTTTTAAGTTCTGGAAAAGGATAAAGAATTAAGAGGGAATGAATACCTGAAGCAACTGTCCCTAAGATCTTGGGTAGCGTTGGATTGGATGATAAGGTGGGAAAAATTGTAAGTAGAAACTCCTAAATTCAAGAGTTTTCGCTTACAAAAAAAAAAAAAAATAATAGTAACAGAAAAATACTGTCCCTAGGATCTGATTTGTTTGGTTTCAATTCCTGGTGCCAAATGCAATTGTAATTTAAATTGTGGTGTATCCTTTTGCTACATGTAGTGTGTGATTCATCAAGGTGAAGCTTCGGTCCAAATGAAGTTTATTACAGCATTCCTTTATGACGCAGTTGAACCTGGTGTAGAAATTTGCAGATATGGAGAATTACACTGTCAGTTCCTAATCCTCTATCGAATTTCACCTTGGTCCACTTATTTTTTACTTTTCAAGCCAATTTGCAACAAGTGAAAATGTGAGACTTTTTGCAAGTAAAATGCCCCTGATCTGATCTCTTTCTTCTACTTTTCAACGATTCGATTGTATAAACAGGGGCGTATAATCAGCCCACCACTGTACGAGCTTCCTTGTATCTTAAAACAGAAGAAAATTTGTGGATGCAAGTGTCACGCGACTAAAAAAACTCAAGATTGCTTAATGGATTCAATCCTCTTTGGTTGGAGTAGATGGGCAAACAAAATGGTCGTCGATGCAGGAGAAAAACGGAAAATACAACAAAAGCCTATGCATTAATATTGGAGAGTACATATTTTTCGTGATTTGTTTGCAAGTAGCAGCAAAGATATAAATTGTAAAAAAATTAGCTTTTCCTTGAGTAAATAGTATTAGAAAAAGGTCCCATAGGATATGTAACTTTTTCGTTCTTTTCTTATTCAACTATCTTCTTCTCTCGTTCGTTTGATCCGACAAATGAGAGTTTGAGGGAAGTGGTCGAGGTGTCTTGAGAAAGGTAATTGAAATACTGATCATAATGGAGAACTATTCAGTAATCATAGCTGTTTCAAGCTACGTTTGAACTAAGGGAAAAAAAAAATATTACTGCAAGATGAAAGGTACCATTGGCCAACTACATAAACCCTAAGTCGGATAAACAGCAACCCAAGTCATAGACGATAGAACCCAATTCTCCACAAGCCCTTCTTCAACAAGCTTTGGACTAGTAATTGTTAACTTTGGCAAGAATAATTATACGAAATTACAGCTCATCTTGCTTGCCAGAAAAACTAGAAATACAGCTCATATATCAATAATAATGCATGAACTCGTCAATCATTAGATAAAGAGATGAGTTAGAAACCACAATTACTTGCTCAGGAATTAAAATGTCTTTATCCAATCCAATCCATTCTGAACTCATCAAAACTAAATGTGAACTTTGTGTTTCAAAGTTGTTTAATTTATGTCTCTCTATGCCAATAATTATATAATTATATTCGGTGAAAGGTTATATGTCAAAAGTTTCCAGAACCTTGTTTATAATGTTAACTCGGAAAATTTATCACTGGAGGCTCAAATCCCAGAAACATATCAATTGGAAGCTTTTGGGTAAAGCCCACAGCCACTGCTGAGTTTTAATACTTTTTTTTTTTTTTTTGGAAGGAAAATTGGTTGGTGGGGTTTCAATTCTTTGACACGTAATTTTTGTGAAGACAAGTTATATTCTTCATATGGAAATGTTAGCTGTCCAGTCCACTCTTCTCCAATTGGAGATAAGCCGAGAATTTCTTCTCTCTTTTTCACGATGAGGGAAATTTTTCTTTTATTCACAACTAAAATCATTTGACAAAAATAAAAAAAAAAAAGAGTGGAATATAGTACAACAATGTATATATGCATGCTAAGTGATCCCTTAGTCAACTAGTTTCTGTAAATTAGAAGGTACTATATAAAAAATAGAGCAGTACGTGTAGACTTTTCCTCGGTCCTTTTCTACTCTGTAGAGTGTCATTTTCGCCCGCAAATCTAACTAAAACGACATTGTAGCAAAGATCCTTTAAAAGTTCAATCTAACGTAACGCACCAAATTAAACTACTAGAATTGAACTAGTAGCTAGAAGAAGATCCACACCCGCACACACACACACACACAGAAAGAGAGAGAGATGGCACCATCATCATCATCATCATGGCTTCGGCTTCGAGTGTTGGTGCTGGTGGCCTGTTTACTTCCGTCATTCATCCAATGCAAGATCCGCATTTACAAGTTCAATGTAAGTCATCCAAATTCTTCTAACTCAGTACTCATTGAGTTAAACTTTCTTACCCAGATTCAAAATGCATGGTCTCATTGAAATTATGAGTTCCATATAGGCATCAATTAGCTTACATTAATGATAATGCTGGCAGTCCACAGAGGCCAGAAGAATCAAGGCTAGGCTAACAAATTGGATTGTTTAGTACGTAGTAATTCTCGAATGATTTCCCTGTAGTGTTCGCCACTTAGCTTTAAACTGGCGAGTAGTAGTTTGGAAAATGGAAGAATCAAATACTTCAGAGATTAAAATGCCACGATAAGGTGTGGTTTGCGAGTGCATGCAGGTGATGGTGACGAACACTACAAGACTCTGCTCAACTAAGCCTGCAGTTACAGTTAACGGGCTTTTCCCGGGTCCAACAATCTTTGCCAATGAAGACGACCACCTGCTCGTCAAGGTTGTCAACCAGGTCCAGTACAATTTGACCATCCACTGGTTAGTCTAACACTGTTCATCAATCCATCCTTCTTCTTTTTTTTCTAACTTTTTGCCTAATTTTTATTCTACTGTTCAAAAAGAGCAACGAAATGGATTTTATCTACACAATCATGGGCAGGCACGGAATAAAGCAACTTCGCAGCGGATGGGCGGACGGGCCGGCATTCATAACCCAATGTCCAATTCAACCAGGGCAAACTTACGTGTACAACTTCACAATCACAGACCAGAGAGGAACGCTCTGGTGGCACGCTCATATTGGCTGGCTCAGGGCCACCGTCCACGGCGCACTTGTTATCCTGCCTAAACTTGGCGTGCCCTACCCTTTTCCCCACCCGGATAGCGAAGTGGTCATCATTTTAGGTCGTACTAATATTTATGCGAAAATAGCCTACTTCTAAGCATTTCTAGTGTACTTTCGAAGCATTATTTATTTCGCTGCTTAGGTCCTCTTCTTAACTGATTTTGATTGTATAAAAATTATTTTCAAAAAATCAGAATTTAAAAAAAAATACTAAAGTAGATGCTTCTGATTTTCAATTTTTTTATTACGCTAAAAAAAATCCAAAATTAGGATATGAAAAGCTATTGAAAACAGAAGGAGAAAGATTTTTCAAAATCAGCTGAGAACAAGAACTTAATGGATTATTTATTTTATATGGTTGCAATTGTTTTTATGTGAAAGCTCTGGTTTAATCAAATTTCCTTGTTCAATTCATAGCTGAATGGTGGAAGTCAGATATCGAGACGCTGATCAATAGCGCAATGAAAGAAGGCCTTCCATTTCAGGTTTCTGATGCATACACAATCAACGGCCAATCAAGGCCTATCTCAAATTGCTCTTCAGAAGGTACAAAGCAAATTTGTTCTGCTACTTTCTCTTCTATTACCTTTGCAATGAGCTTGATTGAATGTTTAGGATTTGATCGCCATATATTTTCTCTCCTAAAAAATTGGACAGGGGGATTTAGTTTTCCGGTGGAACCAGGCAAGAAATATATGCTGAGGATCATCAATGCTGCACTTAATGAAGAGCTCTTCTTCAAGATTGCCGGCCACAGTCTCACGGTTGTTGAGGTTGATGCAACATATGTGAAACCATTCAAAACAGGCACCATTTTCATAACGCCAGGACAGACCACAAATGCCATTTTAGAGGCTGATCTTGGTACGGGCAACTACTTGATGGCAGCCTCACCATTCATGGCGGAGCCCGTTCCTATCGACTACACGGCTGCCACTGCCACTGTGCATTATTCCGGCACCCAATCATCTGCAGCCACCACATTAACAGACCTTCCACCTAGAAATGCAACTCCTCTGGCTACAGCATTCGTCGACTCTCTGAAAAGCCTCAACTCACAAAGATACCCTGCCAGAGTCCCCTTGACCGTTGATCATTCTCTCCTTTTCACAATGGGCCTAGGCTTCAACCCCTGTGCCACTTGCATCCATGGATCGCGAATAGCTGCATACTTCAATAACATCTCATTCATCAGGCCAGAGATCTCGCTCCTTAATGCACATTTCTTTAATATCAGCGGTGTCTTCGCTGATGATTTTCCGGGGAATCCGCCAATCCGGTATAACTACACCGGCGAACAACCTACGAACCTTAGGACAATGGAAGGTACGAGGCTTTACAGACTCGCCTTTAACTCGACAGTTCAACTGGTCTTGCAAGACACGGCAATGATCACCCCGGAAAACCATCCGATTCATTTGCACGGAATGAACTTCTTCGTCGTGGGAAGAGGTTTGGGGAATTTCGATCCAGAAAAGGATCCCAGCAACTTTAATCTTGTAGACCCTGTGGAAAGAAACACTGTTGGAGTCCCTTCTGGTGGATGGGTAGCTGTCAGATTCAGGGCCGATAATCCAGGTAACGTGTTATTACCAAATGCAGGACAGCACCTTTGCGGCAAATTTTTTACTAATCGCATTAATTTGGTTCTTTTTTTTTTTTTTTTGGCTGCTGCAAATCAACATTAATGAGATAAATTTAACTATTAACCGATTTGATCCTCAAAAAAATATTTTTTTTTTTTAAATCAAGATTCTGATTGTTCTTTTGCAGGAGTTTGGTTCATGCATTGCCATCTAGAATCACACACACTTGTGGGACTTGAGATGGCATTTGTGGTGGACAATGGGCAAGGACCAAATCAATCTGTTCGTCCACCTCCTAGAGATCTTCCCAGCTGCTAAGAATTTCCGAAGGCCGACGAAATGCTGTTGCTTGCGCGTTACTTTTTTTTTTTGGGTTTCCTCCGTTGTAAAGTCAAAGATGGAGAAAAGATGGCAGACTAAGCATGAAAATAAGGACATCATACACACCACTTGATCAATTCCGGCTGCCAAATGTGACGGTTCCATCCAATGTTTGTGGAATACGTACAATAATGTATTCTGATTGTAATTTTTTTTTTTTTTTACTCCCCACCTCCTGGAACCAAGATTA